GTCTGACGCCTAACTCAAAGTCTTCCTGACTTCAGAGTCTGGAAAAGCTCCTTTGATGTTGTAGTGAAGGGGGCTGTGCTTTTTTACTGATTGGTTCTCCTCTGTGTCTTTCTCATTCAAACACCCACATGGACAGCCACACACAGCTCACCAGCCTCACCTGGTTGAATGTAGGGCCTAATTTCTTTCTTTACCTCAGGCTGGTGGACGCAGGCTGAAGGGCAAAGTTGTTGTATTTGACTGTGTTTACTACATTACCTATGCCGCCTGGCCTCTCTGCTCCCGGTAACTTGTCACTTCCCTTTATTCGGCTCCATTGCACAGCTTGCGCTGCCCTCAGGCACCGGGTTTGGAATACTGCAGCTGCACACAGATCGAAGTGATGTCTCCTCAGCCCCAGTGCTGCACATTAATGAATGTATACTGTGGGAATTAAACAGTTGGTCACAATGATGACATTTAAATATACAGACATTAGATCAATTAGGGCAATTTACATGTAAAACTCATTTTAAACTGTCTGCCCCAAAGCACTTGTTTCACCTATAGGCAATAACATTTACATGATAAACATATTCATACAATCAATTTAAATATTATTACTCATTTTAAATAGCGGGTTTATGATAAGGCTAGCCCAAAGGCATTAGCCACTGCAACATGGTGGTGAAAAATATACGCCCCATAGCAGTCCTCTCAAAATGGCTGATTGCAGTTGCCTTATGGCTGATTGGGATAGCTGGTAATTGATGAAACCGTTTTATTACTGCACCATAGGTCCCACCTGTTACATTAGGTTTAGTAAAGCCTAGCAAGTGGTTGAAAAAAATGCTTGATCTGAGTACAGAAGTGTCATATCTGTAGACTAGCATACAAACATGTTTAAAATTAATTGTTATCATTATGCACTTGAGTACAAAAAAGTGTCGTATCTGTAGACTAGCATACAAACATGTTTAAAATTAATTGTTATCATCATGTACCTAACTGTGCATAAATGTCAGCGTGTTCTGTGTGGACCACAGGACTCACAGACTACATCAGCGCAGGGTGCAGGCTGAAGGCCAGGGATTGCTATGATATGGCGCCCCCAAGTGGGAATACTGGAGAAAAAAGTTACCTTTGCTCTGCAGCCTTTTCCATCCATCCTGTCGTGTCGAGCATTTCCATCTGCTCGTGCGTGCCTGTATGAGCACGTGACATAATTGGAGGCGAAGAGGACTTTAACAGAACATTCTTTCAATCGACGCTTTGTGAACCGAAGTCGTCACGTCAGTTCAAAAATGTCAGACAGATCAACTCGAGCCGACAACCCGAACTCTGTGGTTTGTAACATATGCGGTATTGCTTACACTTTACCAGGTACATTTATTGTAATAATTATCCTTTACCAGTCCACATATTGTCATTCATGTTGTTTAAAGTTTTAGCTATATCTAGCTAACGTTACCTGTCAAATTGCACACATGTTAGCTAGCTTCGGACCACGTTGTGGCTACCCAAAGTTATACGGTCCATTTTGTTCAGTAAACAGGAGAACTGTATTTTTACAGTAACGTTATAGCTAATAATGCACAAAATGACACGTTTATAGAATGCGTACATTTTGTTGACTTGAAGAAGCTTATCAAGAGTTTGGTCCGGACACATCACCTCATTCTGCTATAGCCTGCCACAGTGCCAATACGTTTGGACTGGACCTTTATGGCCAGAGAGGAAGTATCTTCCAGTATCTCTGTTATGGCACAGGAAAATATTTAGTTGCAAGTTTAGGCACTTCCTTCCATCAACCTAAACTGCACAGAGCGTTATAAAATACATTTGAATGCCATTAATCTTTTCAGAGGACGAAATCGTTGGCAACCTTCCCAATGTCCTCCTGTGTTCCCACATCTTCTGCACTACCTGTCTGCGCTCCCTGGAGTTTAACAATGTAATTCTGTGCCCTGAATGCAAGGTACAGTACAGTACTGGCACCTGATGTCAGCCATACAACAAACACTACATGAAACTGATGGTCACATACATAATATTTAAAAAGGGGTAAGGCTGCAAATGTAATGGTGAATGTATACATTTCCCTGTATATCTATAGGCCCTATATTTTCAACATTTTCACATTTACAGTAACATACTTTTGGTAATGTAGTGTATGTGGACACCTGCTCGTCGAACATCTCAATTCAAAATCATGGGAATTAATATGGAGTTGCCCCCCCCTTTCTGCTATAACAGTCTCCACTCTTCTGGGAAAGCTTGCCACTAGATGTTGGAATATTGCTGCGGGGACTTGCTTCCATTCAGCCACAAGAGCATTAGTGAGGTTGGGCACTAATGTTGGGCAATTAGGCCTGGCTCGCAGTCGGCGTTCCAATTCATCCCAAAGGCGTTCATGGGGTTGAGGTCAGGGCTCTGTGCAGGCCAGTCAAGTTCTTCCACACCGATCCCGACAAACTATTTCTGTATGTACCTTGCTTTGTGCATGGGGGCATTGTCATGCTGAAACAGGAAAGGGCCTTCCCCAAACTGTTGCCACAAAGATTTCCCTTCACTGGAACTAAGGGACCTAGCCCGAATCATGAAAAACAGCCCCAGACCATTATTCCTCCTACACCAAACTTTACAGTTGGCACTATGCATTGCGGCAGGTAGCGTTCTCCTGGCATCCGCCAAACCCAGATTCACCGTCTGACTGCCAGATGGTGAGGCGTGATTAATCACTCCAGAGAACGCGTTTCCACTGTTCCAGAGTCCAATGGCGGCGAGCTTTACACCACTCCAGATAACGTTTGGCATTGCTCTTGGTGATCTTAGGCTTGTGTGCGGCTGCTCGGCCATGGAAACCCATTTCATGAAGCTCCCGACCAACAGTTCTTGTGCTGACGTTGCATCCAGAGGCAGTTTGGAACTCGGTAGGGAGTGTTGCAACCGAGGACAGAATATTTTTACGCGCTTCAGCACTCGGCGGTCCCGTTCTGTGAGCTTGTGTGGCCTACCACTTCGCATCTTAGCCGTTGTTGCTTCTAGAAGTTTCCACTTCACAATAACAGCACTTACAATTGACCGGGTCAGCTCTAGCAGGGCAGAAATTTGACAAACTGACTTGTTGGAAAGGTGGCATCCTATGACAGTGCCACGTTGAAAGTCACTGAGCTCTTCAGTAAGGCCATTCTACTGCAAATGTTTGTCTATGGAGATTGCATGGCGGTGTGCTCGATTTTATACACCTGTCACCAATGAGTGTGGCTGAAATAGCCAAATCCACTAATTTGAAGGGGTGTCCACATACGTAGGTATGTATATATACACTACCGTTCAAAAGGTTGTGATCACTTAGAAATGTCCTTGTTTTCCATGAAAACATACATGAAATTAGTTTGAGTAGGAAATATAGCAAAATGAATAGGAAATGTAGTCATTGACAAGGTTAGAAATAATGATTCTTAATTGAAATGATAATTGTGTCCTTCAAACTTTGCTTTTGTCAAAGAATCCTCCATTTGCAGCAATTACAGCCTTGCAGACCTTTGGCATTCTAGTTGTCAATTTGTTGAGGTAATCTGAAGAGATTTCACCCCATGCTTCCTGAAGCACCTCCCACTAGTTGGATTGGCTTGATGGGCACTTCTTACGTACCATACGGTCAAGCTGCTCCCACAACAGCTCAATAGGGTTGAGATCCGGTGACTTTGCTGGCCACTCCATTATAGACAGAATACCAGCTGACTGCTTCTTCCCTAAATAGGTCTTGCATAGTTTGGAGCTGTGCTTTGGGTCATTGTCCTGTTGTTGGAGGAAATTGGCTCCAATCAAGCGCCGTCCACAGGGTATGGCATGGTGTTGCAAAATGGAGTGATAGCCTTCCTTCTTCAAGATCCCTTTTACCCTGTACAAATCTCCCACTTTACCACCACCAAAGCACCCCCAGACCATCACATTGCCTCCACCATGCTTGACAGATGGCATCAAGCACTCCTCCAGCATCTTTTCATTTGGTCTGCATCTCACAAATGTTATGCTTTGTGATCCGGACACCTCAAACTTCGATTCATCTGTACATAACACTTTTTTCAAATCTTCCTCTGTCCAGTGTCTGTGTTCTTTTGCCCATCTTAATCTTTTCTTTTTATTGGCCAGTCTGAGATATGGCTTTTTCTTTGCAATTCTGCCTAGAAGGTCAGCATCCCGGAGTCGCCTCTTCACTGTTGAATTTGAGACTGGTGTTTTGCGGGTACTATTTAATTAACTGCCAGTTGAGGACCTGTGAGGCGTCTGTTTCTCTAATGTATTTGTCCTCTTGCTCAGTTGTGCACCGGGGCCTCCCACTCCTCTTTCTATTCTGGTTAGAGCCAGTTTGCTCTGTTCTGTGAAGGGAGTAGTACACAGCGTTGTACGAGATCTTCAGTTTCTTGGCAATTTCTCGCATGGAATAGCCTTCATTTCTCAGAACAAGAATAAACTGACGAGTTTCAAAAGAAAGTTATTTGTTTCTGGCCATTTTGAGCCTGTAATCAAACCCACAATTGCTGATGCTCCAGATACTCAACTAGTCTCAAGAAGGCCAGTTTTATTGCTTCTTTAATCAGCACAACAGTTTTCAGCTGTGCTAACATAATTGCAAAAGGGTTTTCTAATGATCAATTAGCAAACACAACGTGCCATTGGAACACAGAACTGATGGTTGCTGATAATGGGCCTCTGTACGCCTATGTAGATATTCCATAAAAAATCAGCCGTTTCCAGCGACAATAGCCATTTACAACATTAACAATGTCTACACTGTATTTCGGATCAATTTGCTGTTATTTTAATGGACAAAGAAATTGAATTTTTTTTCAAAAGGACATTTCTAAGTGACCCCAAACTTTTGAACGGTTGTGTGTGTGTGTGTGTGTGTGTGTGTGTGTGTGTGTGTGCACACGTATATGTCAATGCCAGTTCATACTACTTACCAGCAGGCTAAATGGCTGCAGTGTGAATAAGGAATGTAGTTGTATGAAATGCAGTGGGTGTCCCTGCAGGTTGAGTCCACTCTTCCTGAAGGAGGGGTGGAGGGACTGCAGGTGGACAGCAGAATCATCGGCCTCATCTACACAGCCAAAATGAACAAAATGAAAAGGTATATAACAATTTATTTCACACACTTATAAATACACACATGCCAGCCACCATGATTCACTTTGGCAGTTTACAGTACAGAAACGGAATTGCTGTCCAGTTGAGCTTACACACATTTTAAGAGCATGATTATAAATAGAAAACATTTTCAATGTCATTTCCCCCTATTCTAATTTAGCCGCTAACTCTGAGCTAACACTCTCTACCATTCTCCTCAGACCATTATGGATTCTTTAGTTGGGAATCAAAGAGGTTCTGTCTCGACGCTCAATGATGAACAAACACTCCAAACTGGAAATGCAGTGCATTCGGAAAGTATTCAGACCCCTTCACTTTTTCCACATTTTGTTACGTTACAGCCTTATTCTAAAATTGATTAAATTCATTTTTTCCCTCATCAATCTACACACAAAAACCCATAATGAAAAACTGAAAACAGGTTTTTAGAAATGTTTGCAAATTTATTAAAAATAACAAACAGAAACCTTATTTACATAAATATTCAGACCCTTTGTTATGAGACTCGAAATTGCATCCTGTTTCCATTGATCATCCTTGAGATGTTTCTACAACTTGTATGGAGTCCACCTGTGGTAAATGCAATTGATTGGACATGAACAAAAACCAAAGCCATGAGGTCGAAGGAATTATCCGTAGAGCTCTGAGACAGGATTGTGTCGAGGTGTCATACCCAAGAAGACTCGAGGCTGTAATCGCTGCCAAGGGTGTTTCAACAAGGTACTGAGTAAAGGGTCTGAATACATATGTAAATGTAATATTTCAGTTTTGTATTTTTCATTATGGGGTATTGTGTGTAGATTGAGAATCCATTTTAGAATAAGGCTGTAATGTAACAATGTGGAAAAAGTCAAGGGGTCTGAATACTTTCCGAATGCACTGTTTGTAATTGTTCTCATTCTGTAGAAAACCTTTGTTTTTGTTTATTAAAACTCTGGTAGAGACAGACCAAGGCATCACAGAGTCAAATCCTCATCTTCACCTGTCAAGGAGGACACAAAACAGGTATGGTTTAACGTTAATACAAGTGTGCTTGGCCTGTCTGATCAGTAATATCCAAGCTACAGTATCTCCTGGGAGTCGGTCAGCCAAATACACAGATGCAGGGCATTATTTAAAGAATAGTGCAGAAATGGACGAATTTCCATTGTTTCTGTGTAGTAGGCGATAGATGTGTTCTGTTCTAGGGTCCAGATGTAGAGACAGCACTGAAAGCAGTAGAAGAGGCTCTGTCTCAGGCCTCCGAGAACATGGCCAATCTGGACAACATCCATCAGGTGAGAGACAACAGGACTGTCCCACATCTCCTGTCCTTCCATCTGTACTGATCCAAAAATACTATGGCCTGTTTTCCCAGACACAGATTAAGCCTAGTCCTGGACTTAAAAAAGCACATTAAATGGAGAATATCCATTGCGCATGCTTCGTAGTCCAGGACTAGGCTTAATCTGTGTCTGGGAAATCAGTCCTATATGAAAGCAAGCTGTAAGCTGTAGCATACCTGCTCTGTTGCTTTTCTCTGCAGACTCTGGTGAAAGGTCTGACGGTGCAGGTGAAGAGAGAGAAGGCCAGACTGCTGATGGAGATAGATGAGGCTATGGACAGGGCCTTCACCATCCTTAAAAGAAGGTGCACTACTCTACAACCCCCTCACACCTTCCTCTCACTAATGGGCTAGTGTGTAATGTATTTGTGGCTTCTGCTGCTTATTGTGTGTTTATTGGGCTTGGCTGTAATGCCTTTTATCAGGGCTGATCAAATAGGAGACGTATACAGTGAGTGGACCCTATATTATTTTTCTGGTTTCATGGGGGTGAGGTGTAATTCCTGCATTGTCAGGAAGGGGGCGTTGGTGGCGGAGCTGACCAACATGGAGCAGCACTTCCCGTCCAGCAGGAGGGAACTGGGCCGGGTGGAGGAGAGGATGAGGGCCCTGGACACGGCCATGCAGAAGGCCAAGCAGGTCGGACAGCACCCCTCCCTGGAGAGCTACTGCGACTTGGAGCAGGTACACACACTAAACTGCACCTTGTGGTTGTAGAGTGACACTTCAAGGAATACGAGGTGTGTGTGTGTGTGTGTGTGTGTGTGTGTTGAACAGTTGCTGGAGACCCTGCAGGCGCCTGTGGATGTCCAGTTGTTTGACCTGAAGTGTCTGTCTCTGGGCTCTGGACTGAGGTGAGTCAATAAAGTTGACCTGAATTACAATTTGAACCCCCGTAGCTATGTGGCCTGACCTGAACTCTGCTACTGTAGTTTGAACTCACATCTTACCTAAGTCGTGTGTGTGTGTGTGTCAGCTGCATAGCTCAGCAGGATGCACTGGGCAGGAGTCTGAAGGCGTGTCTGAAGATCAACATTGGGAATGCCAAGATGTAAGTCCTGTAATTGACTACAGATATATATTTTTCTATCTCTTTATTTACATGGTTTAACTGCCTTTTGAATTTCCCCTCAGTCTGACAGAAGAGCCAATCCACAGAGACAGAGGAGACCGAGAGAGGCCCCAGGAGCAGCAGGAGAGCCAAAGGATGATGAGGCCTCCCCCGCCCAGCACCAGAGAGCCTGTTCCCCCTCGCCAGGAGCAGGACAGCCTGAGGATGACTAGGCATACCCGGGGCCTCTCTCCCAACCCTGGCCCTCGCCCCTTCCCCAGCTCCAGCCCTGTCTCAGACTCCGGACCCAACGTCATCATAGAGGAGATTATAGAGGAGATTGAACAAGGAGGAGAAGGGGAGGACGAAGTCAGTTTGAAATCCTGCCATCAAGTCACCACAGCCTCATCCAAAACCACTGCAGCAGGGTTCTCAACTGGAGGTTAGTGACAATCTCACAGCAACATTTAGAGAGCACGTCAGTGCATGTCTGCTGAGGTAAACCGCATCCCCATTACCCATAGGATAATAATGGTGTTTCTTGGTTCCTGCTTTTAGTTGTCCCAGCCCACCGGTCTGAGCTGCAGCAGGCCAGTGAGAGACAGAGAGCCCAGAGGAGCAACAAGAAGATCCAGGAGGAGCTCCTCCATGTCAGTCAGGGGAAAGGTAGAGGAAAGGAGAGACAGACGTCTAGTCTGGACACTGTTGATCCGCACAACACACATTTCACATGATAACATGCAGAACAGTTATGTCCACGTAATCTATAACTTGATGAATAGAGACACATAGAAACTGAGTGTGTGTGTGCAGTGTTCCAGGAGTGGGTGATGGTGACCCATGTGGTGAACCCTAACCACTTCTACATCCGCCACGTGGCAGAGCAGAGGGCCTGTATTCTGCTGTCCAAGAAGATCAACTCCCTCTGCTCTGGAGAGAGAGGACTGTTCACAGCCAGCGACATACTGGAGACTGGTGAGATCACTATGTGTGTTACCTTACTGTGGGTATGTCCCTCTCTCTAGGCTCTATGATGTTTGTGAAATGAAAGCAGTGCGATGTTCCACTCTGACTAATGCGTGTTTGTGTCTCCGTCAGGCTCCACAGTGTTTGTGAAGTGGAAGGAGGGGATGTGGTGTCGGGCCACCCTGACAGAACTGTTCCAGAGAGGTCACCTGGACCCGGTCCGCAGCTGTCCTGTTCCCGAACTTCACCGTATCAGAGTCTACTTCCAGGACTACGGCTTCTGCCAGGGAATCGACATGCAGAGGTACACACACACACACACACACACGAAAAGGGATGAAAAACCTAGTAAGCATGAAAAGGGACAGAACATTGATTAATGTTTTCAGTCACCCAGGTCTGTCTTTCTCTTCCACCTCTACTTACCTTTCCCAGTGAGGAGGCAGGTCCAGACCTGTTCATCAGGGACATGAATGAGCGTCTGAGAAGAGTGGACGTGGCCGGCCAATCAGAAATGAGCCGCTGGCTCCCTCAGGCTATCAAGTGTTCCCTCAAAGACATCGTGCCTGCGGACCTGGTAAGTCGAGGACATCGTGCCTGCGGACCTGGTAAGTCGAGGACATCGTGCCTGCGGACCTGGTAAGTCGAGGACATCGTGCCTGCGGACCTGGTAAGTCGAGGACATCGTGCCTGCGGACCTGGTAAGTCGAGGACATCGTGCCTGCGGACCTGGTAAGTCGAGGACATCGTGCCTGCGGACCTGGTAAGTCGAGGACATCGTGCCTGCGGACCTGGTAAGGGGCATACATTTGCATATTGTGTATATTCGGACATAACATTTGTGTATGTCGCCATCCATCTGTTTCTTCAAGTGAAGGGCTGTATAAGTGACTAGGATGAGTTTAGATGTGTTTTCTTACCTGCATCCCCCTCCCTTCTCTCTCCCAGACTAAAGGCTGGAGTGCGGAGGCCCAGGATGAGTTTCGTCGTGTGGTGGGCTCAGCCTCAGTAGAGATGCAGGTGTTTGGTCAGGAGAGAGATGCTCTGCTGGTGGACCTGAAGAAAGCCCCCATGGACAGCGGTTCCAGCAACATGCCCATGTCCCTCCGAGAGTACCTGGTCTTCCTCGAGCTCGCCAGGTACATACATACATACATGCATGCATGCATGCATACATACATACTCAGGGTGTTTTCCAGGCCTGGAAAAGTTTTGGAAAATGATCAAATCTGAAAAGTCATGGAAATTTATGTAATCATTAATGTAATTTATTTAGGCACAGTTTTTTAATATTTTATCAGTCAAATAAAAATCCAGATGTCAGGATGGGAATGACACTTTAGCACGGCTGTGTTTACGCGCATCACCTGCATGTGTGCGAGACGAGAGCGCGAGACAGTCGAACATTGCAGCAGCAGGTAGGCCTATAAAATATGATCGAGAACAGACTAATAACTAGGTAGCCAATTCAAAACATATTGTACTAGTTAACTATTTAGTTATTATTAGCATGTATTAATGTTTTCGCAATGTCCAAAAAAACATATCACCGACACTTTTTGTTAGATTAATTTGGATTTTAAGAATAATGACTAAAGAATTTCACCCCAAACACAGTATAAATGTTAGAAATATCATGTAGTGTCAACCCACTAACAGAGGGGGCGTTACTAACCATTCAAGGGGGAAGGCGGGAACTGTTTAAGAAAGCCACCTAAAGGTGGGAGGAGCATAGTGTCTTTGTTTGTCAAGGGGTATAAAAACAGTATGTTTGCGTTTTTGAGCAGAGCTCTCCTTGAATAAATTTACCGATAATTACTTGTGGATTGTGGACCTTGAATCATTGATGATTAAAACCAGAGCTTTACAACCTCTGGTAATGATTCAAGCTTAGGTTGAATTAGAGATAGAAATTCACATGACACTTTTTTTGAACGATTCATTTAAACGATTATTTTTTATGAAACTAACGATACGCTTCACCATTGTAGTAGTTGGGATTCGGTTCAAACGCAGTGAATCAAAATAAGAATTTGTGAATCGTGAACAGTAATTTTAGGAAAAAGGATTAGATGTAGCCTTTCTTTTGGATTATGTGGCTTCAAAACGTGTAGATACTTCCAGTTGATTTGGGCATCCAATGTATGGGACATTGCAACTCAATAGATGCTAGTCAGCCTGCAAAGTAAACACTTCTAAGGTAACTCAAATAAATTAGAAAAGGTCAATTTCCTGAAGAAAATGTGTGGGCTTGCTTTAGCCGAATAAAAAGATTTGTAGCCTACCAAAGCCATTTGATCTTTTGATATATTGAATGAGCAAATTATTTCAAAAGGCATAAAACATATTTGGTTGCAATGTTATACATCAAGGGTGGTCAACCATCCTCCAGGAGAGCTAATGGGTGGGCAGGCTTTTATTCCAGTCCCCCTCTAACAAACCACATTTTAGAAATTAGCTGCTGAACCGGACCTTGATAAACTGTCTCTGTGTTTGAGCAGGGCTTGATCAAAAGCCTGCACACCCAGTAGCTCTCCAGACTGACCATGTGTTTTATACAGTTGCCTAACAGGTATTCTACTTTGGGGGGGGTTAAGTGCCTTGCACAACAACAGGAGATGGTACATGGGAACAGAGAGCAGCCTCCCAGTGTCGATACCACATTACACATACTTTTTTATACGGTATATAGAGACGCCGCCAATTGTTGGTCATGGAAATTTGGTTAAAAGTCACAGAAGTCTTGAAATTCCATCTGTCAAAATGTGTATGAACCCTGCATACTGTACATATCCAGTGTTTCCCCTATATGCATTTTGCAGAAGGCTGCATCAGTTTCTTCCTTGTTGCCATGGATAACCAGTAGTAATATGTTCGTTCTGCTGCTGTAGGTTTTACTCTCCGGTGGCGTGGAATGCCAAGACTGTGCCGTGTGGCAGGAGGCCTCTCCAGTTCTACCCTCCTGTCTTCCCTCGTACCAACGTAGAGCTCAATGCTGTGGTGTCCCACATAGACACACCCTCACACTTCTACATCCAACTGGTGGGCTACACATTCCACACGCGCACATACGTGAAAGCATTATCAGCTGATATTCCAGTGCCCTCTCTAACTCCTCCCCCTCGCTGGTGAAGCGCAGGTTGACAACATGGAGTTCCTGCTGCTGACAGCCAAGCTGCAGGAGTGTTACAGCTATGACTGCCCCAGCAGGGGGACCAGAGGAGAGGACCAGGACCTGGAGGTCTACTGTCCTATCCTGGATCAGGCCTGTGTGGCACGCTTTGACGACAAGGTCTGGTACAGGGCCCATGTCATAGGTCAGTACACAGTGTCTGTTGCGGTGCGGTGACTGAATTACAGCCACACCGGCAGTCATGAGTCATGACCGCAGTCAAATTCCACGTGACCGCTGAGTCATGGTAATCTCCTCCTATTCTGCTCTCTGTAGGCCTACATGAATGGCGCTGATGCGTAAGGTAGTATAACTAACTCCCTAATGAATGGCTTGGTACTCAGGGCTCTATTGTCCCTCTAATCTGAAAGATGAGGATAAATGGTGATGGGAGTTAGCGGTCCCATTCTAAAATGGCCCCGGGGCTTTCCCAGACGGACACAATATGCACAAGTACATTTTTGTAACATAGAGACCCGTTCGGGTCCACAACCTTGCACGAGAAAATCCAATTGTTTTGGTACTTTATTAAGCGGAAAGGAGAGGGAGAGAAACAGAGCGAGCATGGCGCTAGGGAGGAGGGGGCGTGCGGTGTGTTCGTGCGCAGTGAGTGACATGGGAGCAGGCACAGAAAGAGCGCGACGGCAAGCACTGTTAACCCGCACTAGTATACTTACTTCTTGCTGGTTATTTATCATCCCACCTGATTAAATAGTACCTGTCTTGACTGCATCAAACCAAGAGAAGCTAGCAAGCTAGGCTAATTGAGGCTAGCCTACATAACGTTACTGCGCTTCTCCCCTTCCTTCAGTTACAAATAACTCCATTCAGATTAGTAAGGAGCAGCCTACCTGCTTTTGGTTGTTGTAGCCTTCTCATTTCACTTTTAATTCTGTCATTTTAATTCCATCTTCTATTGATTAGATATATCCTAACTTGCTTGCCACACAAGCAGAGCAGCAATGCAATTTTATCTCTCTCCGCGGGAAGCGCAAGGAATAGAGCGCATGCCTTTTTTGTGACTTTTTCTTAAATCGTCAATATAGTCACATCATGCAGTCCATATGTTTTTATTTCTAAGACATTTTAAGGTTTGTAGGCCTATCACAACTAAAGTTACCAGTTAACTCTAAATTAAGCTTACAGGACCTGTTTCAAATGATCACTTTCACGCTCAACACAGAACAGCCGCTCCATGTGCACACTCGTCTGCAATCGTTTGAGAATAATATTATTTATATTATATACAGCGATGTTCACTTATATTCTTCTTACTATAAAATCATATTTTATATATATATATATATCTCGTATGCGTGGAAGCCAGGAGATGCTAAACGTGTTTAAGTTAACGGTCAATTACCGTGAGACTAGCAGTCATTGGCATGATGGTTACCGACTGACAACATTTTATGTCTGCCACAGCCCCTAGGTACACTCATTGAGGTCACAATGTTTTTATTTTTTAAGGTATTGTCCCCTTAGATCAGTGGTTCTCAAACCTCTCCTGGGGGCCTACAACCGTTCCATGTATTTGATCTATTCCAGAACTAGCACATCCTAATTTCAAATTGTCAACTAATTATCAAGCCCTTGACTAAGTGAAATCAGGTGAGCTAGTTCAGGGTTACAACAAAATAGTGAAATGTCTGGGGATCCCGAGGAGAGGTTTGATAACCACTGCCTTAGATAAAAAAGTATATGCAAACCCCAAAAATGTATGGAAAAGTGTCTACCTAAAGACTAGAATGTAAATGTTATTGTGTGTGTAGGTATTCCCGGGGGCAGGAAGGTGGAAGTCCAGTTTGTAGACTTTGGCAACAAGAAGATTCTGTCAGTCAACGACCTGAGGAAGATCAAGGATGAGTTCTTTGCCCTCCCAGCCATGGTGAGGTCACGCTACACTAGAGTATGTTGGATGGAGGATTAATAAGGCTGACTGTATCCATATACCATCCCAGCATTAACTGCTAGGGTTGGTGGACAGGGCAGGGCACTCATATTAATCAACTGGCTCTCACATTACCTCTTCCCCCCCCCCACCCAGGCCATCCAGTGCTACCTGGCTGATGTGATTCCTCTGGAAGAGGCTGAGATGTGGAGCGACATGTGTACAGAGAAGTTCAAGAGTCTTGCTGACCAGAGACTGGTGACCGCTGTGGCCACAGCTAAGACAGGTAGAACTGGAGAGTTTTCCTTTCACACAGAACTGTCTTGGCATCCCACGACAACCGTGGAGACTTATGTAGTTGATTGATTAATTGTGTGTGTGTCTTCTGAACCACAGAGGCTGGTCGAAGGGGCAGGGGTCTGCCAGTCAGGCTGTTTGAGACCAGTGATTCCAGCGAGCCGTTAGCAAACATCGGAGATCTGCTGGTCAATGACCAGCTGGCCTGCTTCAAGAAGGGGTGAGTGTGTGTCTGTCATCTCACTGCGGGATACTTAATGGGTGAAACAAATAACAAATCTTATGTGGATACCTGCACACACAGATGTGGGTATGGTTTCCAAAAGGAGACGTTTTGTTTTACCCCATCTCCCTTCTCAGCATCAAATCTAAGGACACCCAGGCCCCGGTGGTAGACACCACAGTGTGGGACCCTCCATTCGAGGGTCTTCTGGGTGAGTCTGAACCAGCCCCTGCCTCGCTGGGCCAGGAGACCCCAGAGCAGGACCCCCAAGAGATCCAGCCCTACCTGATGCTGCCTTCCAACCTGAAGGACATGAAGGTCCGGGTGACCCACGTGGTCTCACCCGGGAGCTTCTACGTCCAGCTGCTACAGATGGACACCCAGCTCAAGAGGTCAGCCAGTGGGGGTGGAGAGGAGGGCAAGGAGGGACAGAGAATGGCTTACTGAAGCCTCACTGAATCCAGCAGAGAATCCTAGGCTGCATTCACACAGGAATCTTGTAACTGTAGAGTGGATTGACACAGACATTGACTTTATTGAACTTGATTTTCTTTAGAATGTGTGACTTTAGAATGAGACTCTGATGAGAGGTCAGTGTCGCTTAGTTTCTCTCTCTCTCTTTTTTTTGTTCAGGGTGTATGAGTTGTTGAAGCAGGAGTATGCCCGTACAGAGCCAGAGGAGATGGAGTGGAAGGCAGACATGTACTGTGCTGCCTACAACAACGGGGTCTGGGAGAGGGGCCAGCTCTGCTCTCCTGTTTCCCTCGGCTACATTGCTGAGGTAACACACGAGCACACACACCTATCCTTTAAGAGCCACAGAAGTGGACTAGGAGTGGATTTAGAAGTAAAAACATTGTAGCAGCCGATTGTCATTACTGTTTCATCAGTGATTGACAGACGGGTTCATCCAGCTGTAACTGCAGTGTGGTGTTCTGTCTCCACATGGTGTTAGGTGGTACGCTGTGATTTTGGCAACAAGGTGAAACTCCACGTGAACAACCTGAGACCACTGCTGCCCAGTCTGGTTGGCTGTCAGGTGCTGGAGTGTTCCCTCAGTGACATTAGGTGAACACACACACACACACACACACACACACACACAAATGCAGGTAAATGAAGGGCCGACCTCAAACACTGATGATACCTGGCAAAATGTCCTGAATAGTAGGCCTTTCACTGAAATAGATTCTGACAGGTTTCCTCAGGGCATGAGCTGTTTCTCACACCTATCCTAATGGTGGAGCAAGGGGCATGCTATCCTCCTTAGACCTCAGTTCAAATCTACTCTCACTCTCTCTCACACACTCACTCGCTCAATTTCTTTCTCTCCCTCTCAGACCTGCGGGTGGTCGTTCCACCTGGACAGCCACAGCATGTGATTTCATCTCCTACTACCTGACAGGAGCCATGGCCATCATGACCATCAAGGTGACGCCACATCACACACCTTCTCCTAGCCCTACCACTTTCCGTAGCCCTTAACCACTTCCCCTAGTCCCCACAGTTCTGTGAACACCAAGCAAAGAGGACTGGGGGTGGAGCTAGAGCCTAGTCTCTGATGCCTCACTCTTGAGTGTTGCATATTTGACCATCCATGGTTTTACATGTACCAACCTTTTCCTCTTCTCTCCAGGAAAACACAGAGCAGCGTCCGGTGCCGGTCTCTCTGTACTGCTCCAACCGGGCCGGGCAAGACGTCAGCATCGCAGACTTCCTGGTTAGTGAGGGCCTCGCCCTGAAAGAGAGGAAGCCACGGTGAGTAACAGAACTCTGTGTGTGGATGTATGTTTCACAGTTCAGTATAAGATAATTCAGAGGACCCATGTCTATCTGCTGGCTCTACATATCTCCCTGTGTCCTGTGCTACAGAGCGTCCCCCATGCCTAAACTAGAGGAGTTATCAGACTCCAAGTTCAAGGGCCTTCAAAACAGGACACCTAACACAGAAAACCAGCCCACTGCCCCTATGCCTCCCAAGCCGGCCCCCCGTACCAATCCCTCCCCAGAGAAGGTGAAGACCCATGCCTACTGCCCCCCTGAGCTGCCCCACTGTGGACGCACTCAGATGACCATCTCTGCCATCGGAGAGGACGGACTCATCTACGCCATGACTCACCACGCAGGTACTCTCCTTTCTACTCCTGTTTACCCCTGCTCCCTCTACCTCTCTCTCTTTCTCCCACATACACATACACTGAGTGTAGAAATTATGACACACCGACTTTCCATGACATAGACTGACCAGGTGAATCCAGGTGAAAGCTATGATCCCTTATTGATGTCACTTAAATCTACTTCAATCAGTGTAGATGAATGGGAGGAGACAGGTTAAAGAAGGATTTTTAAGCCTTGAGACAATTGAGACATGGATTGTGTACAGTGGGGGGAAAAAAGTATTTAGTCAGCCACCAATTGTGCAAGTTCTCCCACTTAAAAAGATGAGAGAGGCCTGTAATTTTCATCATAGGTACACGTCAACTATGACAGACATTGAGAATTTTTTTCTCCAGAAAATCACATTGTAGGATTTTTTATGAATTTATTTGCAAATTATGGTGGAAAATAAGTATTTGGTCAATAACAAAAGTTTCTCAATAGTTTGTTATATACCCTTTGTTGGCAATGACACAGGTCAAACGTTTTCTGTAAGTCTTCACAAGGTTTTCACACACTGTTGCTGGTATTTTGGCCCATTCCTCCATGCAGATCTCCTCTAGAGCAGTGATGTTTTGGGGCTGTTGCTGGGCAACACGGACTTTCAACTCCCTCCAAAGATTTTCTATGGGGTTGAGATCTGGAGACTGGCTAGGCCACTCCAGGACCTTGAAATGCTTCTTACGAAGCCACTCCTTCGTTGCCCGGGCGGTGTGTTTGGGATCATTGTCATGCTGAAAGACCCAGCCACGTTTTATCTTCAATGCCCTTGCTGATGGAAGGAGGTTTTCACTCAAAATCTCACGATACATGGCCCCATTCATTCTTTCCTTTACACGGATCAGTCGTCCTGGTCCCTTTGCAGAAAAACAGCCCCAAAGCATGATGTTTCCACCCCCATGCTTCACAGTAGGTATGGTGTTCTTTGGATGCAACTCAGCATTCTTTGTCCTCCAAACACGACGAGTTGAGTTTTTACCAAAAAGTTCTATTTTGGTTTCATCTGACCATATGACATTCTCCCAATCCTCTTCTGGATCATCTAAATGCACTCTAGCAAACTTCAGACGGGCCTGGACATGTACTGGCTTAAGCAGGGGGACACGTCTGGCACTGCAGGATTTGAGTCCCTGGTGGCGTAGTGTGTTACTGATGGTAGGCTTTGTTACTTTGGTCCCAGCTCTCTGCAGGTCATTCACTAGGTCCCCCCGTGTGGTTCTGGGATTTTTTCTCACCGTTCTTGTGATCATTTTGACCCCACGGGGTGAGATCTTGCGTGGAGCCCCAGATCGAGGGAGATTATCAGTGGTCTTGTATGTCTTCCATTTCATAATAATTGCTCCCACAGTTGATTTCTTCAAACCAAGCTGCTTACCTATTGCAGATTCAGTCTTCCCAGCCTGGTGCAGGTCTACAATTTTGTTTCTGGTGTCCTTTGACAGCTCTTTGGTCTTGGCCATAGTGGAGTTTGGAGTGTGACTGTTTGAGGTTGTGGACAGGTGTCTTTTATACTGATAACAAGTTCAAACAGGTGCCATTAATACAGGTAACGAGTGGAGGACAGAGGAGCCTCTTAAAGAAGAAGTTACAGGTCTGTGAGAGCCAGAAATCTTGCTTGTTTGTAGGTGACCAAATACTTATTTTCCACCATAATTTGCTAATAAATTCATTAAAAATCCTACAATGTGATTTTCTGGATTTTTTTTCCCTCAATTTGTCTGTCATAGTTGACGTGTACCTATGATGAAAATTACAGGCCTCTCATCTTTTTAAGTGGGAGAACTTGCACAATTGGTGGCTGACTAAATACTTTTTTTCTCCACTGTATATGTGGCATTCAGAGGGTGAATGGACAAGACAAAATATTTAAGTGCCTTTGAACTGGGTATGGTAGTAGGTGCCAGGTGCACCGGTTTTTGTGAAGAACTGCAACGTTGCTGGGTTTTCACACTCAACAGTTTCCCGTGTGGGTCAAGAATGGTCCACCACCCAAAGGATATCCAGCTAACTTGACACAACTGTGGGAAGAATTGGAGTCAACATGGGCCAGAATCTCTGTGGAACCCTTTCGACACCTTGTAGAGTCCATGCCCCGACGAATTGAGGCTGTTCTGAGGGAAGAAGAGGGGGGTGCAACTAGTGCTGTGGCGGTCATGAAATCTTTCAGCCGGTGATTGTCAAACAACTGCCGGTCTCACAGTAATTTACCGTTAACATTTACATCTACATCAGTTAGCAGACGCTCTTATCCAGGGCAACTTACACATTTTGTCAGCCGGTGATTGTCAAGCAAATAACCTCCAGTCTCACTGTAAATTACCGTTAATTAACTTAAAAACATTTAGCATCTCCTGGCTTCCATGCATAGCTACAAGCCACTGATGCAGACCTTTTGGAACATCTACATTTAAAAAAAGTCCAATAAATCAATTTAATATAGCCTACACCATCACAATAAATCCATTTTGGACAGGTCTAAAGAAACATGATATGAAGAAAATGTAGTCTATTTCAGAAGAACAGAATAGCATACTCTTGAGTTGGCCCTGATCTGGCTATGCCAGATGGCTGTGGGCTACACTAGATAATTTATCAGACAAGATTTGTTTAGAATTCCGTGGCATCGTTTTATATTATTTTATAGTAATGAAGAATACAATAGAACAAAGCTGAATAAAAAAGAAAGGACATTTTCTCCAAATGATTTGAGGGAGTGCGCACATGCGGCTTCTGTGTTGAGCGGTTAACAAAGAAACAGGTCCTCCTATATGCTTAATTTAGAGTTATTTATGCAACTTTAGTTGTGATACAAACGTTGGGCTATATGTTTTGATTTGTAAAAAAAATTATAAGGCTCCATGATGCGACTCTAATGATGATTTGAAAAAAGTTGCATGAGTAGGGCTTTTGCGGTGACCGTATTACCGCCACACCGGTAATGAAGGCAGTCAAATTCCTAAACAGTCACGGTAATTAGGCTTCTCCAAGCTCTGATTCTGCTGATGGTCATTAGTAGCCTACCAAACCTTCTAACTGCCAGGTACTCAGCACTCTATTGTCCCTCTAATCACTCTGACATCAATGCAAACGTAATCGAAAATGTAATCAAACACTTAATGAGAGCCCATGAGCTCATGTTCCACAACATTTCTATAGGCTATGGAATTGTGTGAGAACATCGTGATGGCCTCTATTAAAAAGAGGAGGATCCCATCAGCTTTCTATAGGCTAGGCCTACTATATATTTTTTTCTCAACTTTCCTAATATTAATCACATTGCTTCTCTTTAAAACAGGAGTATAGCCTACCTGGCTGGCATGAAAATGAACCACGGGAAAAGCGGTCCTCCAGTCGCTATTTAAGTGCATAGATGACATGTCTTTTTTCCCCTGCCCCTGTTTCGAGACGGGTGCATGATAATGGTCCATTCTAAATCAAAACAAATTTCACACACAAATTATTTAGTGTATATGTAAAGACAAGATTAAATCAAGAATAGTCTGAGTGACAATATTAGCCTATCACTTGTGAATTATATATTTTTGCGACTTATAATCAGTCGCACACCTCGTAGCCTAGCCCAGTGATATAATTTTTAAAAATACATTATTTTGAAAGGATACCGCTTATTGTAGCTGACTTAACACATGCAGTGCGTCCGCAGTGGTGAAATGGCTAGCTACGTTCGGACTCGGGAGGGTTTTCACGCTGCACTCATTCACTGACCAATACAATAACGTTTTCGCCCCACACACACTGATCCAATGAAATGACAGATTTCTCGACACACACAAGCATTTCGCTACACCCGCAATAACATCTGCTGAATATGTGTATGTGACCAATAAACATTTGATTTGACACACTGATCCAATAAAAATGTCATTCTGCAACATTGTTTTGTTTTAAATGTGACACTTCCAATCAGATAATACAGTTCTTCTGACAGCTAGCTTGATTGACAGCTAACTATGCAGATGTGTTCTGCAGGCATTGCACATGTGGATAGTTAGCTGTCATTTAACTCATGTAGGCTAGCTGTCAGAGTAAAATAATGGAGACGTTTTTAAAACGTGCAGCTCCCTCTACTACGGTCTCCTGAGTGGCGCAGTGGTCTAAGTCACTGCATCGCAGTGCTAACTGTGCCACTAGAGATCCTGGTTCGAATCCAGGCTCTGTCGCAGCCGGCCGCGACCAGGAGACTCATGGGCGGCGCACAATTGGCCCAGCGTCGTCCAGGGTAGGGGAGGGAATGGCCGGCAGGGATGTAGCTCAGTTGATAGAGCATGGCGTTTGCAACGCCAGGGTTGTGGGTTCGATTCCCACGGGGGGCCAGTATAAAAAAATATGTATTCACTAACTGTAAGTCGCTCTGGATAAGAGCGTCTGCTAAATGAATAAAATGTAAATGTAATGTAATACTGCTGCTTCCAATGTCAACAACAAGGCTGACAACTCAGTCCCTGTCAAGAAGAGAAAATATGACCCTGACTTCATCAAATATGGTTTTGCATATATAGAAGACAGTCGGGATGAGTGTAGACAGCAGTGGGTCCTATGCAACAAGCTGTTAGCTAATGAGAGCATGAAACCCTCCTAAATGAAAAGGCATCTGGGCACCAAGCATCCAAGGCACAAAGATAAGACAGCTGACTTTTTTAAAAAGGAAATGTCAATATCTGGAGGCCTCACAAGATTCATTGAACAACGTATGCACGGTACAAGGAAATGCACTTCGCATCATACCTTGTGGCCCAGCGTATTGCTAAGTGCAAAAAAGCCCATACCAGCGCAGAGGATCTCATACTCCCTGCTGCGATTGATATGTGCACTGAAATCGTGGGAGAGTCAGCCGCCAACAAACTTAAAACCATACCTCTATCCAATGACACCATGAGGAGGAGAATCCATGACATGTCTGAGGACAACTCGCCAGACATCAGAGTGCATCAGTGCAAATGGCCATTACGCATTGCAGCTTGATGAATCCACAGATGTGGCTAGCCATGCAATGCTAATGGTCTATGTCAGACACGTCTGGGATAATAACTTTGAGGAGCAGTTCCTTTTTAGTGCTGATTAGCCCACCACCACCACTGCAGAGGCTGTCTTTAATACAATGGATATGTACCTGGCTCCGTGGGACTGGCCTGGGATGGGTGCGTCGGTGTGACCACTGATGGGGTAGCTGCCATGACGGGAAAGCACCCTGGAGTAGTAAAGCGGATCCTGGAGAGAGCACTGAGTGCAACGTTGAACCACTGCTTCCTACACAGGGAGGCATTGGCAGTGAAGTACATTGTGCCTGAGCTCCACACCACTTTCCAGAATGTTATCAAGTGTGTCAACTATATCAAAAAGAGTTCCACGAAAAGCAGGTGTTTCCAGGCCTTCTGCAGGAATATGGGGAGCGAGCACCAGCAGGTGCTTTATCATGCAGAGGTCTGCTGGCTTTCCAGGGGTAAAGTGTTGGGTTGCTTTTATGAGCTTCGAACATTTCGATTGTGAGGAATGGCTCGCGCAGTTGGATATTTTTGATCATCTGAATTCGCTCAATGTGTCAATGCAAGGGAGGGGGCACAATCGATTTGAACAGAGGGACAAAGTGGATGCCTTCAAGATGACGCTTACCGTTTGGACATGTTTGTAACGGGAGGATTGACATGTTGCCCGACGCTGATTACGACATTCAGAATCTGATCAACATAGCGCACACAAAAAAATATAGAAATAAAAATCCTTAAACAGCTTCTTTAAAAGCTGCAGGGAAAATTTTGCGACGACTTCCCGGAGGAGAACAGGAGACTAGACAACTGGACACGGGACCCCTTTCGAGTGGAGATGGGAAGCGTCATGTTGCCAAGCAACGAAAAGGATCTGCTGGTGTTGTCATTGATCGCGGACTGCGCATGCGGTTCCCGGAAATGACACTGGCACAGTTCTGGTGCAGCATAATGGGAGAGTATCCTGCTCTCGACTCTCATGCAATCAGAATCATGCTGCCGTTCAGCACTCACAGCACTCCGGGCCAAGGGCACAACGGTCACTGGTCGGAAAAGGCATGGATCTTTTTTGGGTGCATTACGGCCACACAAAGGGGATGCCGCCGTGAAATTCAAGGCATTATCAAGTGCTTATCAAATTGTGGATGAGAGACTGATGAAGTGTGTACAGCCTGCGCAAACAACTTTTTTCAAATCATTTTTTCAAATTAGTCACATCATGCAGCCTTATGATGTATTAAAATTCAAAACATATAGCCCAACGTTTGTAGAACAACTAAAGTTACATTAATAACTAAATTAAGCATATATGAGTACCTATTTCTTTGTTAACCGCTCAACAAAGAATAGCCGAATGTGCGCACTCCCTCAAATCGTTTGGAGAAAATATCCTTTCTATTTTATTCAGCTTTGTTCAATTGTATTTTTCATACTATAAAATAATGCCACGGAATTCTAAGTAAATCTTGTCTGCTAAATGAACTAGTTTAGCCCACAGCCATTTGGCATAGCCAGATCGGGGCCTAACATACGGACAACTCAGTATGCTATTCTGTTCTTCTGAAATAGACTACATGTTCTTAATATCATGCTTCTTTAGACCTGTCCAAAATAAATAGTGGATTTATTGTGAAGGTGTAGGCTATATTGCATGGATTTTATTAGACTTTTTTAAATGTAGATGTTCCAAATGTCTCCATCAGTGGCTTGTAGGCTATGTGTGGAAGACAGGAGATGCTAAATGTGTTTATGTTAATTACCGTGAGACCGACAGTTATTTGCTTGACAATCACCGGCTGATGAAATTTCGGGACCGCCACAGCCGTAGGCATGAGCTCTGCTTTGTTTCTTGAGCAGGCTGCGCACACACATCAGTCTCTCATTCACAATTTGACAAGCACTTGATAATATTCTCACCAGGCCTCGAATTTCCCGGCGGCATCCCCCTTGTGTGGCTGTAATGCCCCCTAAAAAAATGATTGCCTTTTGTGGCCGTTGTGCCCTTGGGCTGAATATTACAATTCCCGGCTGCCAATCGCCATGCTCCGAAGCACCTCTCACTCACATGGCTCTCTCATGATATCTCAATTCTTATTAGCCAATGCCCGTCATGTGATTGGGTCCTTCTCACAGGCATCTGAGTTCCGAAGGAGGCTACAAGTGAAGAGCGACACATCGGGGTCGCAACTGCACCCGTCCTTATCGAATTCCGAGGCGCATATTGAAGATGTTAGAAGAACTCTCCACATTTTACTTTTCGTCAGCCAACAAGATGAGTAGGCCTAACGAACAGTAAAAGCACTAGCCTATGTCAATCTACTATCCCCATAGTACAACAGTTGACCTATTCTGTGCGAGAAATACATATTCCAAACAAATTCTGGGACAGTTGTTGGATGCGATCGATCCCAAATTAATAGAACCACTAGCATCAAAAAACCTTTGAAAAGCAATGAGGCTGATGCAACAGATAAGAACGTTTAGCTTAAAATGTTGATAAACTATTAGGCTATTTGTTCACATAAGCGCAGCAATGCACACACGGCAGTAGGCTATAATTTTTTTATTTTTTTTTTTATTTCACCTTTATTTAACCAGGTAAACCAGTTGAGAACAAGTTCTCATTTACAACTGCGACCTGGCCAAGATAAAGCAAAGCAGTGCGATAAAAAAACAACAACACAGAGTTACATATGGGGTAAAACAAAACAAAGTCAAAAATCAAAAATACAGAAACAGAAATACATATATATACAGTGTGTGCAAATGTAGCAAGTTATGGAGGTAAGGCAATAAAATAGGCTATAGTGCAAAATAATTACAATTTAGTATTAACACTGGAATGATGTGCAAGAGATGATGTGCAAATAGAGATACTGGGGTACAAATGAGCAAAATAAATAACAATATAGGGATGAGGTAGTTGGGCGGGCTAATTTCAGATGGGCTGTGTACAGGTGCAGTGATCGGTAAGGTGCTCTGACAACTGATGCTTAAAGTTAGTGAGGGAGATAAGTGTCTCCAGCTTCAGAGATTTTTGCAATTTGTTCCAGTCATTGGCAGCAGAGAACTGGAAGGAATTTCGGCCAAAGGAGGTGTTGGCTTTGGGGATGACCAGTGAGATATACGCATTGAAGAATGTTCCAAAATGCAATCAATTAGCGGAAAAACACCATTCTTAAAAGTGACTGCAGCATAATGTGTTTTAATTTTTAGAAGTTATTTGGTTGTGATACAAACCTAATCAACATACAGTGCATTCGGAAAGGATTCAGACCCCTTGACTTTGTCCACATTTCAAATCAAGTTTGATTTGTCACATACACGTGTTTAGCAGATGTTATAGCGGGTGTAGCGAAATGCTTGTGCTTCTAGCTCCAACAGTGCAGTAATATCTAACAATTTCACAACATATACCTAATACACACAAAACTAGTAAGGAATGGGATTTAAGAATATATACTTATATGGACAAGCAATGACAGAGCGGCATGGACTAAGATACAGTAGAATATTATAGAATAGAATGCATTGGAATGCATACATATGAGATGACTAGTGCAAGATATGTAAACATTATTAAAGTGACTAGTGTTCCATTTCTTAAAGTGGCCATTGATTTCAATAGGCAGTAGCAGCCTCTAATGTGCTAGTGATGGCTATTTAACAGTCTGATGGCCTTGAGATAGAAGCTGTTTTTCATTCTCTCGGTCCCAGCTTTGATGCACCTGTACTGACCTCACCTTCTGGATGATAGCGGGGTGAACAGGCAGTGGCTCGGGTGGTTGATGTCCTTGATGATCTTTTTGGCCTTCCTGTGACATCGGGTGCTGTATGTGTCTTGGAGGGCGGGTGGTTTGCCCCCGGTAATGCGTTCGGCAGACCGCACCACCCTCTGGAGAGCCCTGCGGTTGTGGGCGGTGCAGTTGCCGTACCAGGCGGTGATACAGCCCGATAGGATGCTCT